ACATTGTGTTAGCCTATTAAGTTTGTATTATTTGGCTACTGTTATTAAATAATAATTGCATTCACTTTTTTACAATCAAAATTTTAAAAGGAGCTTTAAATAAAAAGGGAGAGGGAAGAGGCAGAGAAGATAAATTATGCAACTGAAAGGAGTGGTTGTTTTTCTCTTTGTCTCTTAAGCACAAATTCTTCTTCATTCTCCTTCCCAGACACCATGTGTTTCCAAAACAACTCATCACCAAACATAACAGAGGAGATAGGAACTTCTATTAGAAGTTAAACCTGCCAACTTGCAGAATGGTCTGAGCTTTCTCAAATAGGAAAAACACAATAGTACAGAGTTGTTAATAAATTAAGGAGAGGCAATGGGTGTTACCGCAGATGATGCAGTACACCATTTTAGGGATTTTCATTAGAATCATATATGGCTCATTACTTTACAATGTTCTTGCAACTTGCTTTAAGAAGTCCAAACTACATTTGGGCATTTAATAGCAGGGTTCATTTCACTTAGGATGGGGTGAGGGGGGGTGAGGGGGTGGTGGTGTTAAAGTATTTTTTTGAAGCCTACTATTAAAGGCCTGAATAAAGGGTCACACCTGCTGAGGGCCTCACTCCATTTGCAATTAGGTATCAGTGAAAGTTTGGAAAAATAGAAACTGCTAGAATTATTTATATCAGGGACTCACCTGTGCCAGTAACCTTTCTGCAGGATATTAGGAGGGGGTACAAGAACCCACAATGTATTCACGTATATGACAACATGCCACGACAAGAGAGCTCCCTTCACCTCCAGAGAGGCTTTTATTGGTCCCAAAATGCTATTTACTGTTACTGCTAGAAGTTCGCATTGGAAGAACAAGGTACCATTTTTAACTTGGTTATACTATTGAGTTTAATGATAGCACTGTGCTTACTTAGAAAGTGAATTTATCTTTTTGCTCTTCCCTCTGTCCATAGTATGTGGGGAGAAGTAAAAAAATATTTATTTAGTTTGGTCTGATAAGTAACAGTGGGAAAATAAGTAATCAGAAAAGCATCTAAATTATCTGGTGAGTTACACATCTATTTTTTAAAAAGATCTATGATATAAGAATATGGATTGGACAGGAACCATCAAGGTCATTGTTTATAGATTCCTGCTATCATATCCACCCATGTCAAAATTTCATACAGACAATAGTCTCTGTAATAAACATATTAAGAACCATCACTCCATGTGAAATTGTTTATATTAGCTATTCTGATCAGATCTCTAACAGATCACATCTTTTTCAAACAAGAAATCCTTAAGCAAGTCCAAGATACGATGTCTTTTCTGCCCTTCCCCAGCCCTCCCTGTCCTCCTTAATTCAAAACAATTCTCTCCTTTCCGTAGCCCCCATAATTTATTTCACACATGGAACATTTTTTACTTCGAAGCACCTTTCCAAATAATTTTATAGCTATCAGTAGACTAAAAAGTGCTTCTGTTGTTCCCTTGGCAGTTCTATTAGATTAAATCCATTAGCACACTCGTATATACACACATTACATTTTGAGCTCTTTTCTGTTCGTAACATGTTAACTATTATGATGTTATCCTTTCTTGTTGCCCATTCAGATTCTACAAGTTTGGATGTCTTAGTTTTCCTTAGCTTAGTTTCTAAATCTTCTTTTTCATTTTACTACTACTTTACTTCATCACAGGTTCTATATTCCTGACCCTGCTGCCTCAACACACTTAATTACATTATAGGCAACCATCTCTGCTCCTATTCAATATTCCGAACAGCTTCACTGAGTTTTAAATGCACAAAATGGTCGTTGCCACACACTTCATTTCTGGCTTCTGCAGTTGTGATCTTGTGCTTTGTTACTAAAAATAGAACTGCTTCCAACTACCTGAGCTGGAAAGCTAATTACAGAGCTGGTAAACAGTGCTCCTCCCTATTGAGCAAATGGCAGAGTAAGGAGTCTGCTAATGCACTAGGGCACACATGGTCCTGTGGGTCTTTGAAATCTATCAAGTGTCATTTATTTAATCATTTGTGACTGTTTGCTTCATGGATAAATTACTATTTAAGTAAATAACTGTTTGACTGTTGGATCAACAAATCGGGAGAAAAAGAACAATCAGCCCTTTTAAGGAAAAAGTATCCTAGCCTAATTCTCAGCTTGCACAAATCAGAATAATTTCACTGAAGTAAATAGCATATTGTTGATTTAGACTAGGCAAAAGTCTAGTTCTCTTATTTCCTGCAGAAGAAGGGTTATTAGAGGACTGACTGCAGCAAAGACTTTTCTGAAAGTTATTTGTCACATACAGGCAAGAACAAACAACTGCCACTGTGAGAAAGCACCTTCTTCCCTTAAAAGTACTCTCAGCTATGTCTGCAGTACAGCAACACATTGCCTGAAAGACCTTCCCTGCTGAAAGATCTTAAGGTAGAAGTGCCCACAGAGTTTAGGTGCTCCTCTGTATTTGTGAACAAAACACTGGTTTCCCTCCTCTGTGGGACTGATTCTTACCACATAGCCCAATACCAGCTTTGTTGGCAACTAGGTTTCAGCCATCACTCAGTCAATGGAACTCAACCAATTTTCAGCCATTACTGAGGCAACAATATATAGATAATACATAACCGACTGTTAGAATCGATGTGATACAGCTTCAGCCCCAAAGCAAAACTGTAAAATAGCCATTACAATTGTTCATCAAAAACACTTTCTGGGGCCAAGAGGGAATATAGCCTTCTGGAATTATAATTTTTATTTTGAATGCAGAATAGAGGAATAAAAGAATTAGGTAGAAAACCAACAGAAAGACCAATTTTAAAAAGCATTTCTTTTTCTCCTTCATAACCTCCCAAAAAATAGAGAGACAAGTAAATAAAACCTCCAAGACTGTACTCAACACATTAGAAAAGTTTGGTGGAGGAAAAGAGTATGCTAGTAAGCATAAACTATTTGCTCATCATCATGTTTCTGTCATGCACGGCTTATACTATGTACAGTGCATACAGGGACAGAATTGCTATCTGAGGTTAAATACATTATTTACACAGCTCTTTTGGGAGAGGAGAGGATGAGCTCCCTCTTCCGTCTCCCATCTTCATGAAAAAGAAAGTCAGGCTGTCCTCAGTCAAGCAAACTATCTCCTGTTGTCAAGGAAAAGCGGTTTGCCAATTTTTAGCAAAAATGATTGGAAAAAGGAAGATAAGATGGAAAACTGTGGACAGAAATGGAAATGTGTAGTGTAACGAAAAAGAAAAAGCAAGAAGGAGCCAAAAAAAGAGGCAAAGAAAGGCATGAGGAAGTCAGGCTACAGAAAATCAATAGTATATCAAGCTCTGCATATTCCGAAGAGTGGGAACAGAGAGAGTCCTCTGGCAGTAACAGCGAAGGGAAAAAAGACACAGAATACCAGCCTTCTCATCTTAAACGAAGAAATACAGAGTATAAATCTGCATACCACAAGGCAGTCCCACACTATCACACCTAAGTCAACTCTGACGAAGTCAATTCATGCACCAGGACTTGTGTAGTTGTCTTGTTAGTGTAGTGTTTCACCAGAACTGACACACCTTGTTTCTGTGGTATTCTGTGCATTATAGTGTGACTCTGGAGAAAGTCATATTCATTTCTTCACATTTAAAACCTAAGTAAGTGTGTGTGTGTGTATAGGACAGGGAGTTGGACAGTCATGAAGGAATGTGTGTGTGTGCTGGAATTCAGTGCATAAGCAACATTAAAAGTCATTTGAATCCTGGTTCTATCATCCTGTGTTTTCAGACCTTTCTTTCTGACCTAAATGACCACAAAGACAGTAAACAACATATTCCTAAGTTAGATAAAATGTGCTTATTATAGTAGGACAAATACCTTTCAAATGATAGTATATTCCAGAAAACAATCCACAAAAAAAGCATATGCAGACAACATAAGCAATATTTTCCCTGCAACTTGCTATTTCTCCCAACATTAGTTCTCACCTTAAGGCAGAGATGTGAGAACCTTTAACCCTGGGAGCCATTTCTAATTTATTCGTTCAGATTTCAAAGACACAACATTGACAGCCACTTTCCTCATGTGCTACACAGACCAACTTACACATTTAAATTACTCACGAGTATTTTTAGATGGTCTGCTTCTGTTGAGTTGAACTTGCCAAATTGATATGGCAAGTAAGGTGTGCCTCCACCTCTCTGTTAAGCTAGTACAAAGTTTCCAAACCCCTTGCCAAAAAATTAGGAGAAAGAAAGAAAGGAGGGTAAAAACATGGTATGTGAGGAAACTGTTTAAAATAAGTTGCTTAATTCTTTTAAACAGAAGTTGGCCCTACTGGATCTGTCTTGGGCAGTCATGAAAAAGGCACTTTCAAATTCACACTCCTTAATGAATAATGTTGTGAAACTTATATTATTCAGATCAAAAAATTACATATTTCACCACACAGGTATCACTCAAACTTCAACCTTCCTAATGAATACATCAGCATATACAAAGACTCCAGAGCCAGAATGAGATTAACGGAATAAATTTAGGGATATATTAAACAGGAGGGAAGGGGAATAACTAAGCATTAACACTTTCCTTCATTCAGTATCGTCTGAATCAGGAGCACTGATTAAAGAAGCACACATGTTAACGTGCAATACTGAAACATATGAAAAAGAACTTTATCCCATAATGGACTGAAGTACAGTAGTTTGCTGTATCATAGTAATACCAATTTCATAAGAGTTCATAACCATAATTAACTATCTGCTTATGCCTCAAAAACCTAGCAACCAGCTGTACCAGACTCCCTTAATCTACAGAACATTCATCAGAAGTACTTTCTGACTACTGACCAAGTTTCATACTACATAGATATTTAATTTTAAAAGCCCTCAGATGATGAAACATTCAAATTTTTCTCGACAATTCAATAGCTAAAAATCAGCTACAGTCTGGTCTCCACAGCACAGAGAGCTTGCAGGCAAGAACACAGGGTAAATACAGACTCCATTGCCTTACCTCAGCTATGTGCGGCATTGGGTTAAATCCACAGAGATTGCACACAACTTTCTTGCACTCTGTACACGTATTAAAGTTGGGGGGATCCTTAGAACCAATATTTAGTCCAGTTTTACAAAGGGGACAAGACACTTTAGGCTGGCTGGCTTGCTCCGGTTCCGACAGCCCAGCAGGTTTCTTAGCTTCAGCAGCCTGAGGCTTGCCATCGTTAGCCAAACCAGGTTTCTTTTCTAAATCAGATCCTTTAGTCGTTAAAACACTATCCGCTTTTGATGGCTCTGGTTTTTCAGTCGCAAGAGGCTTGGCTTCTTTCTTTACAGGAACAGCTTTTGGATGAGGCTGAGCCTGACCAGCCTCTTTGGGGACTGCCTGAGAGGCCGGTGGCTGTGATGGAGGCTGGGGCTGCTTCGCTGCAGGACCGGGTGCAGGTGGGGCTGATGTCTGAGACCCTGGCTGACCCGCTGTGGAGATTAAATTCGAGGCCTGGCTGAAGATTGAAGCTCCAAATCCGAAGAGTTTCCCAGTAACTGTTTCTTGCGGGGTCGTGGGCTGAGGTTTAGGGGCATCAGTGATGCCTCCCAGATTAAGGCTGAAACGCCTTGATTGCTCAGGAGTTTTCTGAGGTGGCTGGGGTTGAGGTGCCAGCTGTGCTGGTGCTGGCTTGGGACCTACCCCTGCCTGTGGGCCCTTGGGAGCTGGTTTGCTATCAGGCTTTGGGGACGGTTTTGTTTGTAACTTCTTAGGATCATCTTTTGTTTGTGTTGGCTCAACAGGCTTTTGAGTTTTAGCATCTGGTCTAGCACCAGGTTGAGACACAAGCTTGGGATCTGACTTCTGTCGAGACACTTGCGGAAGGGGTTTGGAATCTGGTTTATCCCCAGCTGGATGTGTGTCCTGTGACGGCTTGGCAAGCTCTGGCTTTGGGGAGTCTGCCACTTTCTGTTGAGTTGGTGGAGGTCTGGGACCTGCTGAATCCTGTTTCAGCCCTGGTGCTGCAGACGTAGGCACAGTGTCCGTCGTAGGCTTCTGTATACTGGGTTGGGTTTGCTTATCTTCAGCCTGTGTTGGCTTGGCCTGATCAGACTTTGGAGTAAGATCTATTCGCTGGGAGATCTCAGTAGGCTCAGCGCGTGGTTCTTTCAATTTTACAGGGGGAGACCCAGGCAAGGATGGTTGCTTTTTCTGTGGCAGGGGTTTTTTTGATTCTGCTAGCTGCGAAGGATCAAGTTTTGGAGAAGCATCTTTCTTTTGAACTGGCGGTGGCTGGGGAGATGGTTTAGCTGTTGAAGGTGGAATGGATGTCTTCTGTTTGGGTGGAGGCAGCTGTGGCCCAGGACCATGACCTGGTGCTAGGTCACCACCTAACGCTCTTTGCATCTGGCAGTTTAAACAGAGCCATTCCTTAATCTGCAGAAAAAAAAGAATTTTAAAGGTATTATAATTAAGCCAAGAGAAAGTTAATAAAATCAACATAAAAGGCTATTTTAGTATATGGCTTGTTGCAGTGTTTTGGACTTCTGTGTAAAAAGGGAGAAATATTACCACTAATATTGATTTGTGGTTAACATGCCCAACTGATTTTTTCATTCTTCTCCACATTCCTGCAAATCAAGCTATCGCTGAGCGTATGCTTCTAATGACTTCACATTCAGTTTACACACAGCTGAATATTAGAAGATAAAAACCCAGCAGAATGAAAAAAATGCATTGGAATGTCATGGGATCCAGCAGAGATTCATTTATAACAATGATTTGCCAGAATAGAAAAAAAAAAAAAAACACTGCTAAAATAGTTTGACACATCAAGTCTGCTGACAGAAAACAATCATCAGAATTAAAATGCAGTAAATATATAATTACCTTTAAGCATACATCTGTCAAGCTCTTCGTACAGCTTATGGTTTTGGTAATGGTTTAAATTACAGAGCACAAGTATTGGCAGCATATGTGTATCCAATGAATTAGGCACAGAGGTATGCATGGACACCATATATTACACAGACTCACGCTTTACCACCAATTTGAGGGCAAGTCTTCATTTGGAATCAGTGAGGAGCTTTGCCTAAGTCCTGATGGTATTTTAAGAGCCATAATTAGGTTTCCCAAAATTCCTTTGTTAATAAAAGAAGTTCTCAGGGTAATTATTGTTCGCCTGCATACAATGGGACCCTCCTTTCAACACAGAGGAGAAGGAATAAGGCAAATAATGTATTTACCCATGTTTCTCACCAATTTTAGTATCTCACAACTTTAAAAAAATTTTTTCTCCTTCCCAAGAACTACTACTTTAGAGGGAAACTGTGTTTTCTTATAAGACAGAAAAAAACCAATAATCCTATGTGGTCATCCTTCACAATCTGAGGAAGGATCAAAAAGGCTAAAACAACATGTGGTCAGGAAGCATCACATGCTATTTTCCACATTTTACATCTCTAGCAGAAACATTATAAGCAGCAAAAATGCCATTCAGTATGGCACAGAGTCCCGTGGGCCTACACCTGTGTGTAGATACTTAAACAGGTCATCTGTAGCTCTACTTCTCTTCTTTAGTCTGCGCGTCAAACGCAGTGTACCAGCTATGGCATTTGCACGCACCACTGCAACAGAGGGAAACTGCAATTAGGAGGACGCAGAATATAAGACTCAGATCTTTTCCCCTAAGGGTAAAGGTTTCTGGATCCTGTTTCTCACTCAGGTCTGAAATCTCTACCGTACACCATAGGATGAATCTGGAGGTACTACATGCAAAGAAAGATTTTGTCTGTGTAATTATCAGAGCTCACAGGAAGGAAAGAACTCTGATGTCACAGACTGAAGCAATGAATTCATTATTTTTGTGTGCTTTGCCAGCCTTGTATTTTTCCAGCAGCAAAAATTAAAAGAACAGTTGGATGCAGTTCCCTAAAACACAGCTATTCCAATTATTGTGATAAACACGGTATATACTCTGGAATATGAGCTCACTATTGCTACAGCTTCACAAAAAGATGCCCAATTTTGGCTCCAGCTGTAAGTTCACAGTAATCGAGTTAACATTCATAATAATGCTGCTTTTATCTTCCCTTTTCAGTGCAGTTTTTTTTAGATTGTTTAAACAATTCTCCGATCTACTTGCAACCCATATTGTAAATGACTGTTAAAAAGTGAAACCAACTGAAACAAAACTGGAATGCGTGTTTAAGCTCTGCTTTGAATTATTAAAGGAATTAAGTTCACAACTGCACAGAGGACTTGAGTAAAGATTACATTTAGCTTAACTCCCATTTTGTTTGATTGATGATCTGTTCCCCTACAAGTCCCCTGTCCAAGGGACAATTACTTGCAATAAGTAAATCTTAATTATGACACCTGATTTTAGATAGTAGTAATCTAATTTAATTAGATAATTAATAACATTTCTGGATGAATTCTTAAGGTTTTTCTAGAAGGTTTAAGTTTAATTAAAGGCCAGACTTAAGCCACATACTGTGAACATCCACCTCAGCTGTCACAGCTGTCTGGCATCGGCAAAGTGACTAAAGATTTCTTATATTAGGGAAGTGGACTCTCTTCTATGGTGGAGAAAGATAGGATCCTGTGAGGAGCTCTTTAATGGCCCTAAGAGAGGATTGTCTTTTCCCACTAACCACAGAAATTTCACAGAGATTTGGACCATGCACTTTTCATAGCAATTCACTACTGCTGCTTTTTTTTCACCCCTCCACTTGCCTCTTTTTATGTTGTTTTTTTTTTTTAAATGAAAGTGCTGTACTCTAAAGTGCCTACCTGCTCTCACTTAGCTTCCAGGAAATCTAATTTTAAGTCACTATGACACCTGTAAGGCCCCAAACAAAGTAGATGTAGGGTTGGGCAGGGGCTACAGAATAAATAGTCTGAATAATTCTTATGTTTAAGGTGTCCAGATTCCAATTGCATTTATAAGTATTTAGGCTTGTCTTCAACATGCAGCAGGTCCAGTCTGACTCTACTACCTAACTGGAGTCCAAACAAAAGTTAATTCTATACGTTTTTCAACACAATCTTGTGCAGAAGACAAAATCTTAACTCTCAACTGTTATTTTTTCCTTATCTTAAAAAAATAACTATATACATATATACACATACGTGCACTTTCAGTATTAAACTGAAGCCTTTAAAACTAAAAATGAGTTTGCTACTCCTACAGCTGAACTTCAAAATGGAAAATGTATGAAGTTTTACTTCACTGTATTATTTTTTAAAATCTTTCTGGTTTAGACATAAAATTCCTCCCATGCATTTTAGTGGGAGGAATTAAGTGCCAAAACCCTCAAGTCATTATAGCTTACACACATCATCTTCAAACAAATACAAAACTGCACCAATTGTAGTTCTGTGATTGGAACTGCAGGAGTTCAAAATTAAGTGCATAACATGATGCAGTTTTGCATCAAACACTGTCTTTCTACTGCAATTACAGAGATTTTCCATAAACTTTAACGGGAACAGGCTTCTGTTAAATACAGATGCTCTTACACATTATTATAGATGAAGTAAAACTTACTGCTGATGTAAATATCTAAAATACTAATGTTTGTCTATCCTTAAAGATCTTTCTCGACAGCAGTTCTGTGACTTTCTTGTTTCTTTCTCCATATTACTCTTATCTCTACCTAGAATTAAAGGCAAAAGTTTCCAGGGCAACATGTGAGCTTTTGCAGTTCCTGTCTACTGGTAAAGGAGATCCTTCTTCGATGCTGAGGATCCCAAGCTGTCTATCTTTATACTGGTAGATAGGGGTTGAGCCTGGGTTGTCTTTCTAGAAGAAATCCATAAGTGATTTTTCTTCATCCTGAGACCCATGCCATTAAGTGCTATGACGAGTACTGTAAATTTGGCAGATTTCATGCAGTATTTTTTTCAGATTTCAAGTACTGAACACAGAAAGTGCTACCTTGCTTTCTAACTCACTGATGTAGAAACTATATGCCCTCATACCAACAAACAAGTAATTAAAATATATTTTACGTATTCATCAATCATAACATCTTAAAAAAGCTTCGTAAAGACTCTACTAGTTGGAAGCACCAAATGAATTCATTCACAGTGTTTAAGTAACAACATCCATGGAGAATTACATTGAAGAAAATTATAGCACCGTGTTCCATAGCTCGCCTTTCTTTATGCATTCAAAATCTAACAGTTGGCTCCAATAACAAATATGAGCTACACTTCAGTTCTCCTTATCCCAAACAAAGCCAACACAACTGAAGGCAGTCCGGAGCCTACTCCTTTCTGCAAAAGTGTTCAGATTTGTTCCAACTACACAAACCCATCAAAAGCAATAGGAAAACTGTCAGAGAGGGAGTGCATCGACTGGCATGCTCAATTTCTATTCCTGCAGATGATGTAGGGGAAGAAGAGAATCCAGCTTGATTCTAAGATTCCAGATGTACATGAGAAAGAAATTTTGTCTTGCAGATTGAACATATTTCATATAAAAATTACTGGCACACAATATGAATGTAGCTCTCAGAAGCCATTTTAACAGACCTTTTGCAGAACAGAGCCGCATACTCAGGCAATGGGTCTCATTCTCATTTAGACTAGTCATTTGGTGCTATAAAAAGGAACTTTAAGGTATGCATAAAATATTAACATCCCTTTACATCACACCACACAAATGTAAAGATTTATAGAGCCTTTACATTGCCACAGATATGTAAATACACTTCCCTGACATTGCTCAGCACTGCCCCAAAGCTTTATTGACAAAATCAGTTTCTAGTCTGAAAATACATCAGCTTATTTGGTTCCTGACAATTTCAGAGAGGAGTGAGGAATCCAGATTTCACTCTTAGCAGACATTTCTGCCAAGATAATGAGAAAAACAAGAAAAATAAAGCACTTGAGCCCATGATTTTATGCAGCTTCATGTAGGGTGGTAGAATACTGTAAGGGACAAGAAACCAGATCAGAAAATCCTGTTATGAACAAAAAAGAACAACTATCACTGAACAAACTGAATTAGTATGTCGACATACAGCTGAAAAGGTCTTCTAAACAAGCCTGGGAAATACTAGAGGCAAAGTTTTCCTTATACACCACCCTTCCATGAATAAAATCTCAGCTATTTGAAGTAATTACACCGAAACAAATGTTTAACTATTGTACACAGTATGCAACTGATCCTCATTTGAGGCAAATAGATCATGGCTATAAAATAAATATTTACCTTCCTTTCAGATATGAGATGTAAAAGGCAACTAGGGAGTTTATCAGGGAACACTGACTCAAGATACTCACAAAAATGATGCTAGGTTCTAGTAAGCAGCATGGTCCCCAGGTATTTTTTCCACAAACCACAGCAATGGTTACAAGCACTGTAGCTTTATGCTAAACCAGTATTTGAGCAAACTTTTTAAATAGCTGCTTTAAAAAACTATTTT